ACACGCTGTAACTCACAACTGAATGCACCAAACAAAAAACAGCAAAAAAAATTTTTTTACTGCGAAATGTCACCTTTCCAACGAGCATAAATATGAAATTGTTTGATCGATACTTTGCAAGAAATCTATCAGTGCAGCCATCTACCGAAAAAATAATGGATTTCTTTTTCCCTAAACTAATATATTGACGTTATAATACGTTATAAATGTGACATGCGCCAACGCTTCTACATTTATAGAAGATATAATACGAAATCTTTCGTTCCATTAATAAATATCAAATCCTTTCAACAGAATATTTTTACTTCCTGAAAAACTTTTTTACCCAATACGTTACGGAAGAGTTCGTTTATAGATAAAAGATAAGAATGAAAATATTACATTAACGTATCAATCATTTAACGTATTCTGTATATTACTACGTTATTGATAACCAAAAGTAAATAAATACTTTTATATCGTTAATATATTTTTATTGTACTCTTTCGCTATCAAGCTTTGTGACAAATATAAAAGCAATTAGAACTGTGTGTATGTATAACGTTATTTCCAAAAATTCAAACGGCTTCAGCTAAGCGTTGAGCTAGGATTTGCCTTCGTGTTCATTTCAAACCTGTGTTTCTTGTTTAATTTAATTGTTTGCAAAAATCTTCTTAACTATTAAGATTGAAAAAAATCAAACAAGAGATAACAATACAATAATGCTTGTAGATCTCGAAATGTTGGACCCGGGAATATTCAGTCGTTGACTTACTTTCAGTGTTTTCTGCACAAGTACGTGCGTTAGTGCGTTTATTGTTTTCGAGCGTGTCATTTTGCCACAAAGTAATTCCCTGATGGATGCAGAGATGTCCCAGACATATTTAATGCGTAAGTTTAGCAGGACATAAGGAAGAGTGCTAGTGAAAGCAGGACAAAGGTGGTTGAACACAAAAATTGACGGATAGCTAATATTGCAAGTACGCTTTTCAGTTGAGTTAGAGTATTCCCAATGGTACGTGGCACACCATAAATCTGTGTAACGACAAAAACTCATATTTGAAAAGCAGCAAATATGTACTGTTTAATTTTCGTCTCATAGAGCATATGTAGCAAGCACCTATACGTATGTGCTTTCCTAAGAAGCGTAGTTAGATTTCTATTGTGAGAGGGTCTCCACAACTTATTATCGATTACTAAAGTGAACATTATACAAAATATGGCTTTTTGAAGCATTAAGAAAATTTAGTCAATTATGAAAAGAGAAATTACAGAACCGAATATCATCGTACCCACCAATAGTTTGCTTTAAAAAGGGGAAGGCTAATATTATAATAAATCGGTTATTCATGCTAACTGTAACATGCTAAGGAATATCCGTAATGCTTATTTTTATGCGTTGAAAAAATTCTCCACATCTGACAAACATGCTTGTCCAAATTGTTCGAACGCCGTTAAAGTTTATTAATTATATGTGGCTCCCAAAAATTCAAGAAAGTGTGAATAGTGATTTGTTTTATCTCTCATCTGCTTTCGTTTGCGTTTAACAAGCTTTTTTGGTAAACCGTATTCGACCGTAAGTTTTCAACCTGGTCAAGCTCTATTTGAAAATAAACCTCACCGATTTTCTGACTTGCCTACAGTTAGCAATATTTGCAATAGCATAGGTCTACAAAGTTCATAAAGTTTACAGCTTTCTGTTACGTTATCTAAGTTGTTTCTCTCTTTTTTTTTCTGAAACTGTCTATTATATAAACGACATCATATAAATACATACACGTACAGTAAATATATACATATAGTTGCCAAAGGCACTGAGTGTGTTACATGAATGTGATTTCTGAAATGCAGTTAATTTTTAAGATAGCAAGAGAGTGAAAGAGAGGAAAAATTACTTTTGATCGCAGAAGTGGTGACTAACGAAAAACATTTTACAACAAAATAACAAGAAAAATTCCGAATGTTAAATGAAAATGAAAAATTTGAATTTAATGCAATGTTCACATTTCTTTTATGATATACTTTTGCCTCACATCCCTCCTACTTCTTAAATACGACCTTATAATATGAGTTGATATATATTAGAACAAACTTTGTTCATAATGATATATGAATACTGTTAGCGTCATCGTTGATATGCTATGTGTGTAACACTGACGAAGACGGCAATAACTTCGATAACGTAAGAAAGTGATAAGCGGGTAAATTTGTGTTGTACGTGTATATGAGAGCAAATAAACTCGCTGCTGCGTATATGCCTGGTATAATGAACTAAATAGCATAAAAAAGGTAACTCATCCTCTAAAAACAGGCTTTTGTTATTCAAATTTCCGAAGAAAATCGCATGCTTGTAACGTTTCCACAGATTCAATATGAGATTGTCTGCTGTTAGAATACTGGAACCCGTGAAAAGGAAAACGTGTTATATATATATATTTGAATCAGCTGCCAATCATAGCTAATAAAGAGTTAAAAATCTATTGCAGGTATTAATATGCAAACTGGTTGGATTATTTATTAGAAGAGTCTAAGAACTTAAAGCAAAAATTACTGTAAGTGGTGGGTAGTCATGATTCGCTGCGAGCCGTACATAACTTTCATGTTTGTTATACTTATTGCTGCTTTGGCACTCTCGCAATACAGTAACAACGCGTGCGGTCTCAAACACAAAAGGATTCATTGGTATTGTAACGAAAGTTCTTTTATTCGCTAAATGGGGATTTGCAATATATTGTATTATTTTTGTTATAATTTTCTAAAAGTTGTGTTTTCTTTGCTTTCATACAAAAGGGCATCGCACGCACGCGTACTTTCCACGTGAAAAAGTGCTTTGATGTTTTCTACACTAAATTCAGATTACTTTAATAGATAAACAGATTTGAACAAGAATAATTAAAAGAAAAAAAAAAAAAAACAGAAGTAAACCCACACAATTTCAGGCATTGCAGTAGGGATTTGCTGCATGTAGGAAGGAGTGCGGAATTAATATCTTTCATTTTTGATTCATATGAAAAAAGCTCCACACATAACATGGAGCTTAAAATTTTAATTACAAAAACAAAAAACTATCACTTGACTATATATTGTTTAGCGGGCGAGATTTTTCACTTTATTACACATTTTAATAATATTGTTCAGAGGCTTCAATTTCATATTTACAACGCTAATAATTGTAAGCGGATATATAATGACGTGTTACAAACTGTTCCATTTTAAAGTGCTAAACAACATTAACAGCAGTATTAGACATTTCGCAGTTACTCATTTATTCTATGTTTAGCTAGTAGATAACTTCTCTATTAAAATGATGATCTTATTCGTAATTACTATATTCATAACAAATGATCGGTTCTTTCAAGAAAATGGTTTCAGATTACTTTGCGGCGCCAAAGCCTTTTTGCTGGGAAAAATCTGGCAGATTATACATGCATAGATTTACGTTCCTACTTTGAACTTGGCATTTGCTTCCAATGTTATTGCAATCTCTTTTTTTCTCTCTACCTTTTTGTTCCCAAACACCATCGCCATTAACAATAAAATGCTACAAAGCCAGCAGAGTTATTATTACATGTTTTGAAAACGTTATCGTTTTTGTTTGCTGTATATAAAGGATATTTTTATTTGTCCCTGATCTCATTGATATCCTAAACAACTGCTTCCCTTCTTTACTTACCAGCAAATAATCCACACATCCACCTACTTAACAGACCGCCCACCCGTTTATATGTCGTTAACACTTAGATACCTCAACTGCATTTTATGTGTGACAAATTCATGTGATAATACGACAGATGTTGTTATTACTGTTGCTGATGTTGTTTTCTTTGTTTTGGCTGTTTTGATTGCTATTATCTGCGCACAAATCTATCATAAGAAGAATATTTTGTATGCCGCAAGGCTTTGAACTTATGTTAAATATGTACAGTGAGCTTAAAAAAAGCGCATTGTTGTCCTATGTAGTGTTATGTAAAACCTTCTATTAAAAACACATAATATATTCAAAAATATTATAATAGCGGAGAATCAATCATAAATTCAAAAAGAAAATTATTGCTTAGGAGCATCAGTAGAAACATGACAAATCATAATTCATTAAAATGTTCGTATAAAACAAACCCGTTTTTTGTTTAAAATGTGCCACTCGAAACGTTTGTAATTGCACGCTATCTCTTGAAGTCTTCACGTTTTCGAAATTTTTATTGGACTTTCATTATCAAAAAAAGTTTTTCTTTAAAATGTCAGTTTTCTTGTTCATATATTTTGATATTTCTAAATGATATCGTAATGTAGATGTTATCGAAGCCTTATTTATATTGGGCCCAACGAAAATAATAAGAGAGCTGTGATTTTGCGGTATTTAATTCAGTAACCCCTCGAAAAAAAAACAAGATGGGGAATCACGTCTAGTAAGAAAAATTTACTGGTAGAAGGTCACAAAGTTCATATATGAATAATATATACTTTTCTTTTACAATAAGTTTTTGTTTATTACATGGTTACACCTGCAATATTAGAAAGACAACAATGTATTTGTAATGAATGGCTTCATAAGTACAAAGCAACTGTGTACTCTCTTTTGATGTTTACTGTACTACCTAAATGAATACATAAATGCATGTGCGAGTGTGTATTTGTATTTAAAAATTGTACCAAGTGTGAGCTTTTAAATGACATAATTTTCACATTTACAGACATATCTTCACAAGTATACGCATTTTTTTTTACGTTTGTGACGTTTATGTGCGTACGTGTATGGTTTTACGTGCAGTTTATTTCACTATTTTCGTTTTCTGGTTGCAATTAAATTTAGCTTAACTTGAAGGAGTTCTCACTTCAGAAGGAAAAATTGCGACCTTATACACATGCTTTTCAAGCAAATAATTGATTTGTACATACCTCATGCTTTCTCTCATGCGTAATACTCTAAAAGCACATACAGCGAATCCTTACTATTTCTAATCCTTCCTCATGCGTTTATGTGCGTAAGCATTCAATTATTTCCAATGCGAGTACGTGATGTTCTTCGATCAACATACTGCAATCGACCTACGCAGTTAGCTATAAAAGAAGAGCAAATACTATTAGCTAAACTATTATCATTTCAATAAGAATTTATCTATAACTTAGATTTGTGTTTATCCCTTTATACCTTCAATAAATGCTCATTTACGCAAATGCGTTCGTTTTTATGTAGTTTAAATATAAGCAAACATATGGACTGAGTAATTATGCTAGACCTTAAATTTTACCCGCAGCTGACTATTTGGGGTGTTTATTTTTTAACAAAATTTGACTATAGATAAATTAACACAAGGAGCTCATCAAATGATGTCCATCGATCTAATTGCTGACTGTCTTCTGCCGAAAAGCTTAATAAACGACAGCTTTTGAATGCATACTGCAACATCGCAAGTTTAATTATTAGCTGATATACATATAAAACTACTTTAGCAGAAAACGAAAAAATTGATCATCTTTATCGACGTTCTCAAAAATTGCCTTCGAAACATTTGAAATAAGGAAATTGTGGACTGGACCTCTCGAAAGTCAGAAATCGTAAGTTGAGGAAGCGGAATAAATTTTCACTTCGCTATAAAATATTATCCAGCATAACATGACATTTCGCTTTGTTGTTAATGGTATTCAAGAGTTCTTCTACTATGAATCAATTTTAAGACGCACATCGAATAGCCCGAAATTTGCTTCTTTGAATACATAAATGAAAGCAAATTGGATCTGCTGTGATTATCATTTAATTTACCTGTTAGGAAGACGACTTTTTACACGCTGACGTTTATGTCACTATCACCTGCAAAATATGCTGACAAAAAGTTATTTGAAAAATACGTCAAAATATCACAGCGAGGGCGTCGGCAAATCCACAATGTTTATTGTTGGTAAAAAGTTCTTGGCAAACACATTTGCATTAGTATACAAAAAGAGTCTTTACATTTTACTGACGAGGGAAGAATTTCAACTTCTAATGTCAAAATCTTCAAAATTATCAGTTAAATATTCTGCTCGCATATAATTATGACCATAATGCAATGGTAAACGTCACATTTGATGTTTATAACATATTGTTGAAGTGATGAAGAAGGACGTACAAGCGTTCGATGTAAAACACGTTTGCTCTGCAGGATTTCCGAGCAATTATAATTTCAATAGGAAATAATAACAGAAGCCGCCGTAATCCATTTACACTCACATACGTACACATACATGCATGTATATACGCATGTATCAAACTTGAAAGATTGCTAAAAGAAACAAAATCTTTGCAGTGGTGAAAGCTACATAACTAAGAAATTGCAGCCGCCACTTTTGAATGAACATTGATCTGAAAAATTTTACAAAGGCAGTTGTCATCCTTATTTATGCAAAATCATTCCCATGAGAATGATATTAGCAAAAGATTTAAGCAATAAATTTCCCTACTCTGATGGAAATAGGGATCTCACCGATGGCAAAATGATTGAACTACTCAATATTTTAAATTTTGGTATTCCTGGAATTTTCAAAATTGCTAATGTTACAACCTATTCGTTCGTTAATCGATGCAGATTATACGCAAAAACTGAAACAATATAACCTTCGATAAGGTCACCAGAGCTGTGCAGCAGCAGAAAAGCAGGACAGAAGCGCAGAAGAAAAAACACTGGTGCTGCTGATAAGTTGTTGAATATCCCTGCCTTGCCTATTTACAACGCGTAGGCAAGCAAACTGAAAAGCAAGTGGAAAAACATTTGAAAGATCAAGTTTTTCGAAGTTCTGGTGTGGATTTGCAATAATACTAAATAATGTAATGATACTAGATTAGTAAAATTAATTGGCTGAGTGGATGAAGTTGCTTTTATAGTTCGCTATAACGATCCAGAATCGAGGAATGTAAGAATCTCAAAAAATATAAGTAGCATATAAGCCGTAGATAGCAGAGATATATACCAAAAATCGAAGTGGTACGCATGACAGTGAAAGACCGATTGGCACACCGATCAAGTTGATCTTTGGCAGAAAAGAAGAAGAAAGCTTCTGGTTGCCTTTTACGGTTTATAGGTTTGATAGCGAAGCCAAAGATGTTTCCTCGTTATTATACAACAATGTCGATCACATTGTAATAACGTTATTCGAGAAATACAACAATAAAATTTCTTACAAACATATATGTTGGATATATATTTCTTATTTGCTCTATACGACAACATAAATTTGTAACAAGTAGATTTTCTGTTTAGGAATATGTTCCAACCAAGATAAAGCAAGGTCGCCAATATGGTGAAAACTGTTGATTTATTAAATGGTAAATCATAAACGTATACAAGCACATAGAGGGAATAGACAATATGATAGCGATGTGCATGGTTGTTAGACATGCAACAAAAACAAATCCATTTGGTAACGTCGCTAATATTACTAGTTTGATAAATAGTAAAAATATTAAGTATATGGACACTCGTGTATTAATGTATTCTTTTTTAGTATCACGAATATGTTTGCCTTGAAAAGTATACGAAGAAATGTTTTAATTACTAATAAATAAGTTGGAAAGCTAAATTACTACCATAAACTCCAGACAATCAAAGACAAAAAACCAGGTAAATCGTACTTTAATAACAAGTTGGTTCCTCCGTTTTTTCTTGGCGGAAGTCTGCTCCATTCTGTAGCAAATACGAGCTGTCTCTACTCAAAAGTATATACAAATAACGAAAAATGGTTATTCTGCACTTAAATGTTTTGCTTTTCTATTTTTCCATGCGTTTCTGTAAAGCATATACCACGAGAGAGTCGAAGGTGCTGTATCATAAACTAGACGCTTGCGCAAAGGTCTTCCACAAAATTTTTCCTCAATTTCATTTCATCCATTCCTCAGTTTCGCTAAAATTACAGGTTTCCCCTTGGACAAGTGCGTTTACCATAAACCGCAAGCTCATGAATTTAAAAGAGTCTTTCTCTCTAGGTCATAATTTACAAGGATTATCACAGATTAGAAGGGATGTATTATATTTCGCTCACTTTCGGTAGCTGATCATAATTTTGGAATCAGTGTAAAACTTCGAAAATATGCATATTATTATGAGCGTCCGTAACCAATTACGAATAGTCAACACTACAGGTTAGACCGACGATCTGTACTAAGTGGGTTATATTTATTCAACTTGTCTTGTTGAACTGTTATTTCTTATGTTTTTATTATAAGTGAGTCATGACCCCATGCTATATTGATAGAGAAGTAAGACTATAGATAAAATGAGGTATGGAATTGTAAGCCAGACGAGCAAGATGAGCTTTTTACTTCGAGATCATTACAGAGATTTATGAAGAAAATTATATTTTTCAGTTCTATCTTGTTTGGCCTACGGCTACCAAGCACTGTTTCTAATTAGATGATCTTATGAGTATAGTCAAAGGTCAGGAAATACGAATGAATGCGAGACAAATGTTCAATAAAAACCTGTTGTTTAAACAACAACACATCTAGCTTATAAGTTCGCCGGTTAACAAGATTGCTCATAATCCCAAGTTAAGCCTGCTCAAGCAAGCTGCCTTTACAAACCTACATCGATCCATGGTAGTCATCTGATACACTGGTGCATAACAGTGAAATCATCACCTTCGCCACGAAAAAATTTCCATGGCAACTAGCGAGCGGTTACAAACTTAGTACTCATTTAGATAATACATACGCCTAATAGTTTTCCAACGCTTTCGCCTCTTGGATATCATCCCAAAATGAAGGAAGCCAATCGCGCGCATCTCTAAGAATTTTTTTTAAAACTTCGTGCCTTTCCGAATATAATTTAAAAGCATTTCCAAATAAAAATGCGTTAGTACGTTAAAATCTTCACCGAGACGGCTGTTTAATGTATGGAGCCTTATAGCGATTCAAAAGATATCAGTCATTCTGTTAAGAAATTTAAAGTGTGAAACGAAATATTTGATATTACTTATAAATATAGCCATAGAATTATAATATTTCCTACAATTTTCCTTGTCAGTTCGCATTGGGTAAACTTCAACCTTAGCCTGCCTTCCTCGAATTGTGGCAATGTAGGTGAAGTACTTTTATCTTTTATTAGGCATGCGTTCAATATTTTTAATCCTATTAGAGTCTAAACCACAAACCCTACTTCTTCTGAATAGTTTATTTACATCATACACATTTTAAACTCCCATATCTTTGGTGGTATTTTATTATCTTAGTCTCATAAGCTATACTATTTACTTTTTTATCGTTACGTTTATTTAAATTGCGGTTTCTTATATGTGCTTTGAAATCAATGATAAAAGACTACGCCTCATATAGGAAGTCACTTCGCTTTTCATGTCCTACACTGCTGTGTAGTAATTCACCCTTTGCTTTGTTAAGATATAATGAACAAGTTTTTTGTCTAAGTTTTGCATCCCAAGGTATCGAATACGACCTTTCTTGCCACATTTCAAGTACTTATAGTTGCCATTGTGTGTTCCTTTTTGAACTTTTGCCTAGTGTCGTTTCATTTCTTTTCGACTTTTATTAGCAAAACCAAAGCAAAGACACCGCCGTTCTTCTCCTTCCAAAATCCTTGACATCAAATTTTCAAGAGAAGATAGGCCGTCTTTATCCCTTGGATATATATAAACCTTTCGATATCATCCGAAAGGCTGCAAGGAAATATCCTACATAACAAGTCGTCGATCCAAAAGACGTCGCTGCTTTTTAAACTATCAACAATTCAACAAAAATCGTTTATCTTTTCATTAGGTGTAACGTCGTCTTTAAACTTGGAACAAACCAGATTCGTGAAAAGATTTGTTTTTTTCCCTGGTATATCCGCCTTATTTGAACCACTTGAAATATTCCATGCATCTTATTGAAAGTTTTTAGATGTATTAACTCACTCGATTTTACACTAAAATTTACAATCATTAGTATCCTCTTGCTACAGTTCTCGCAAACATTTTTTCTTTGGTTAATTTTTTAGTCATTCGTTTTCAATTATATCCCATAAATCTAATGTAACTAGCAAACTTCTAATTTAGGTACATTACGCAGAATAATTTTCTAGGCTCGATGTTTA